ACACAATATCACACTCGTAGCCATGCGATATGGCTCTATATCAGTGTGGCTGTGATTGCCTACGGCACTATGGAGCCATATGGCACGGCTACGAGTGTGATATTGCTTAATGCTTATATATATAATATGTCTACACCTTGCTCTAATGAGAGGATTAGTGAGCGTGCAGAACTGGACAAAACTCTTGCTTTCAGCAGTTAGTGGATTCTAACTTAAACACCTCTGATTGGCCATTGCTTTAAAGAAATCAACAGACATGTCTGTCACTAGCTACACTTCTCAACGCTGCAAAAGCACATTGTAAAAATTAACATTTGATGCTCTCCAGAGTGTAAACAGATGATATGCACATGATAATTTGCCAAATCGCCAATATGCTATTATTATGGAGCAAACTGATCCTAGGCCAGCAGTTATGAGCAGCTTTTACCTACAAGTCTAAAAGCAATCAGAAGCAGCAGCCGGCAGTGGTTTTTGAGTGAGAGAATCCCATGCCAAATCCAAGTCCAAGGCCAGGGGAAGCCTTGCCCAGCCTTACACACTATGTCTATAATTGTTTACCTTCATCTATTGTTCCCATTCTGTTGTTCATTGGTTATTTTAAGGCTGTTTATAATAGATTTTGTTGTTTTCATGAAACTGTTGGCTGAAAATAAATCATTGTCTAATTATTTGTATCCCATGAATTGTAAAATGATGTAATTTGAGAGTAGGCATTGAGGTCAACCCTATTTCACCAAGGTCCACTCACTTTAAAAATTCTGGCCTCGCCATTAACTTGAAAAAGCAAAGTGTGCATTATCCATTGACGAAGGCTGTCCAATGAACAATGCACATCGAAACAATGCCCAAATACAGAAATACAGTCCTGCTGATGTACTCCTTACAAACATACATAGGAGTATGTTAAATGGGCGCCACAGCAAAATGGCTGCCCACTGCTCCCGGTGTGTGTCCAAAGTTTGCAGTGAGCGTGTTCACTACTCACACTACTCCTAATGTGTGTGCACTAACTTGGATAAGTTAAATGTAGAGGACAAATTCAGGGTATGGATTACCAAACTTGGCCTTCACATGTCACTTTCAGTTGGTGACTGCATAAACTGTGAAGTATTTTATGAAACGGTCTCCATTCTAACCTGCAGGAGTAAACGGTCTCGCCCTCTTTGAAAACACGTCCACACTGCTGAGCTGATGAGCTGCTGTTGTGTTGCTGTAGCTTCTCCAAGCCCACACAGGGGTCCTCCCCAAAAAGAAAGCACTCCAGAGGATACAGGAGGCGTTCCTCAACCTTTTGCTCCTCCTCTCCTTGTTGTGGCTCTCTCTCCAGGCAGTAAATAAGGGGGACCTGCTCCCCCAAATAGCGGAGTATAGCAGCCCCTCTGTTTGAAGCCTCCTGCCATTTCTGGTGGCAAAAGAGAAAGAGCATAAACAGTATAATTAACTATATTTTTAAATATGGGTGTTCAAAAATTACATTTTAGCAATCAAAAGATTCTCCTCATTCCAAAAAAAAGTAATTTATTGAAACAAAAGAGTAGTAAGGCCCACTTTTATGGTGCTTTTATGACCTTTATGATGAGAGAAAGCTTTAGGTTCCATTCATTGTAATTGCATGGAAAAGAGTGACTAGTACAACCTGCTAGTACACTAATCAAAAATTGTCCTTTTGTTTTCTATGGAGAAGCAAAATTTTAAACAATACTTTGTAAAACGGAGAAAGTCAAGCTTGACAACTAGTTTTAAGATTTTCTTTATTGTTGGCACAATCTTACAATTATGATGAGTCTGATCACAGTGTTCCCAATCAAACATTGATTATTGTTTAGACCAGGAAGAAACATATTTTAATTATAATATAAATTGATGATTGAGTTAACCTCACTGTCTGCCACATGATTATTCAAGGAAAACCAAGGGTCAGTCCTGACGCATACTTGCGTTTCAAATCTTGCTCAACATTCAAAACCAAACTTTTCTAAACTTGTTAAATGTTATTTGTGAGGGGGTGGGGATCATTTTGAAGAAGTATAAGTTAGTTAACCACATATTAAATATGGTTAGAATATGCAAGGCTACATTCTGTACTAGCAAATATCAAATTAAAAAAACGGCTATTCTGATTATAAATAATGAAAATATATTTATAAAAAAAGGCTGCATTAAAAGGTGAAAAAAAGTTGCACAAGGCCGAAGACCTGGTAAAAATTTTGTCTCTCAAAATGTCTATTGAACCCAATTTAAGTGAAAGTGTAACTCTTTATTTATGATTTTCGTCGTTTCGTAAATAAATTAAGCTTTTAAAAGCATTAGCCCGAAAATGTAACTAAAAACTGCTTGTTTCTGCAGTAATTTTCTACCAACCATATAACACAAAATATTAACAGCTCATGTTACAAATTTAAAGAGACAAAAAACGTACTAAATGCCATAATATATGCGATGGTGTAGAATAGAGCGCTGTTAAATCTGCTGGTTTACATGCTAGATGATAAACAACAATCATGTCAACAAAATCTAGTATCTGACCAAAATGTTCATCATTAAATCGTAAATAAAACATAATCTACAGGTTTACCACGCAGATTCAGCATATATCTTTCCCTGCTAAAAGCACAATCTATTGAAAAACTCGTGACATGCGATTGCATTTGTGTCTGAAGTGGTTGAAATCAAATATTTACCGTGCTCAACTGTACACCGTTCAGCGACTCCGCCATGATTCAAATGCCGTAAAGCGTCACCACAGCAACACATCAAGGACGGATTTGCAACAGTTTAAAAGTCTTGATGGATTGAATTCTTTAATATAACAAAAATGTTAAATATAGGCTACATTGAAATTTGATCACAGATTGTAATCAAATTAAAAGCATGTGGTTTTACATACAAATTACATAACACAACAAATAATATACAATATTATAATTACTTTATATTATATAAAAGTAGCCTAATTGTTGAATGTATGCCTTTTTATTATTTTAGAGTATCCGTCTACTGGAAGATTCAATCAAATGATTAATAACAAGATACTCATTTCCCCCTCCATTTTTAGTCCAAATTTCATTGAATCACAAGGAATAATAATGTGATGATAATGTTCTGTTCCACGGACGAAACAAAGTCACGGGTTTGGACCTTAATGAATAAATTATTAAAGAATTGTAATTCTTTGTAAAATATCCATTTCCACAAAAAGAAAAAAGAAAAAAAGAAACATTTTTATCCCTGCAGCGCCCTCTGGAGTAACGTTTTGTCTTACGTTCTGGATGATTGAACATTCTATTTAACCCTGAAGATCAGTTGTGTATTGCATGCAGTCCAAATGTAGTGACGAGAAAAATGTTTTGGATGTTTATTTTAATAATCAGAGATTGCCTTCAAATATGACCCCATAGTAAACGCAGATGTGTTTGAAGGACCACGTTTCAGCACGCTTAGGTCAAATGCAACAAAATAAGTAGGCTACTTACAGTAAGGGAAAGCTAGGTAAGTTCAGCTACTACGTATTTAAAGATAAAATATAATGTGAAGAAAAAAAACAATAATAATGTCCACAAATGACGTCAACTTTTTAAGGAAATGTAAAATAAAAATTGTATCACTCTATAAATACTTAAAATGTTACTCAGATCAGATGTCTTGCTGTATCAAACGTATTGCATACTATTTGCATACTATTTCCCCTCCGTCTGCACCGTACGTGAGAGACAGCATCTCACACGTAGGCTAACTGCAGATAATAACTGAACACTTGCTCATCCTGATCACTTCACTTCCTTTTAACCATGTTGCTGGACGCATCTAACGCATTCGTGGAGATGAGAAAAGAGCGTTCGGGCTTGAATTATATAATATAATTTGACAAATAGGAAAAGAGATAGATGATGATATGAACACTGACACTGAGTAGAGTTCCCGCGATCAGCTGGAAGAGGTAACTGTTTTATTCGTTATGCAAAAAAGGTGTGGATTGATCAACTTACCTCTTCAAGGGAAATTTGATAGAACTACCGGTAGCTAAAAAATGCTACAAAAGAACGCTTTCTAATGCAGCATATCCTCTTTTAAGAGCTACTTATAGAACATTTTGACATCATACTTTTGTTATGATGTCAAAATATTATATTACATTGATATTAAATGTCTATTCTTTTCTCTATCAGGATAGAATGTTTATGGTTTTGTTAATAAATGGATAAAAAGACTGGATAATATGGATAATAGTAAGCATTGTTTAAAGGTGGGTGTAGTGTTTTTTCCCTCATTAAAAGCTACACATCGAGAAATGAATAGTACTTAAAAATGTTTAAAATCATTTATCAGTAGCCTAATAATTTGTCTTATTTACCATGGTGTGGGTCCCTCATGGTGGTCGCCATATTATCAGTAGGTCACATGCTTTAGAATTCAATTATTTCTGTAAGTTCAACTAAATGATGTGGTCATATCAGTGAAATTTGAGCAAAATTGTGCAGGCATAAAAGGTCTGTTGTCTACTGTCAATAGTGTCGCACAACTCGCAGAGAAGTCTCTGTTTCAAACCAAGCAGCTTCTGCTAGTAATGCGGTGAATCTCTTGGACAAAGACCTGCTGCAGAATCTGTGAGAGGAAATCTTTTCCCCTCACTTAAATTTCGCAATTGCATGATTCTCTATTAAAATGACTGGATTTCGCCTGCAAAAATTCCCTGAACAATGTGACCGCACCTTAACCCTGATTAAAATAGCATATCAAAAATTGTGAGTTTAGTTTGTCCAATATATTAATACACTAATTAATATAAAAATGTCCTGTAGAGTCGAAATAGCCCATATAGTATTGTATAATATTTGACTTTGCTGTGGGAAATAATCTGAGTGGAAACGATAACATACTTCTGAAAATGTATTTATTATACTTAAGGTAGTACTATTTAAGATACTATTGCTAACCCCGTGTTTCTTTAAATGAAACTTACCAATTTAACTATTCTTTTTTCCATCTTTTTGGATAGTCTCAGCCTCCCAGTGACCATGAACTTAACCAGTACAACATTAATAGTCCAAAACCTCACAAACGGTTGTGAACCGCCTTACGATGAAGAAAACCCACTTCCACTTGTGGCTCTCTACAGTATAGTAATCACAGTAGGTCTGCCTGCTAACCTGATCACGGTCTTCTTCACACTCATTGAAGTGTGGCGGAAGAACGTTCTAGGAATCTACCTCTTCAGCCTGTCAGTATGTGACCTGATGTATCTAGGTACACTTCCGCTCTGGGCCATTTACATCAACAGAGGCCATCACTGGGAATGGGGCTCTCTGGCCTGTAAGGTCACCGGCTATGTGTTCTTCAACAACATGTACATCAGTATCTTCTTGATGTGCTGCATTTCCATGGACCGCTTCGTCGGGGTGGTCTACGCCGTGGAGTCTCGAGGTCTGAGAAAGATGAGGCATGCCGTGATCATCACTGTTGTGATTGTGGTAGTCGTTGCTGTGGGACACGTGCCCGTTTTCACCATGACAGAGGGCAACTCGGAGAAAATGGAGGACAAGCGGTGCTTCGAGCCAAGCAACCCCTCTGATGTTGTGACGGCACTCAACTATTCCCGCTTCTTCATCGGTTTCTTCATCCCGCTGTGCATTTTGATAGTCACCAACTTGGCCATCCTTGTTAACGTGCAAGCTAGCACGGGCCTGAAGCTACGGACCAAAGTCAAAGTTCGTAACCTGGCCGTGGCTGTCGTCTTGTTCTTTCTGGTCTGCTTCACGCCGTACCATGTGATCCTTTTGCTCCGCGCAATCAATTATCACTTTTCGAAGGGGAAATGTGACTTTGAAAGAAGTGTCTACACACCCTATACGATCTCTCTGGGTCTGTCTACCATCAACAGTGCCATAAATCCAGTTTTCTATGTTCTTACCAGCGACAGTGTTCTTAAGAGGATCCACAAAGGCCTGCAAGGGTTACGAAGCAGCTCAAGATCTTCTTCTTTAGTGTGATTTTCTTTTTTTCTTTTTTTCAACTGGGACTTTATTTTCCTGAAGCCTGTATAACATTTAAAGAATGAATAGAAGTTAGAATTTGGTTACACGTTATTTTGAGGTGACGTAGGTGAACCTGTCATAAACAAAGAGACCTTTCTTAAAACTTGACAACTAGATTTTGGAAAGATTTTTATTGTCCCTGACCCAAATATATTTACCTTAGCAATGTCAAAGTGTGTATTCAGAAGAACATTATGCAATTTGTGTGAAATGAAGCAAGAAGCCACAAACATTAGTAGAGGAAATGGTTAGAGCAAGGTGCGATTGTGCAAAAAAGAGGATGTTTTGTCCGCTTGTAGGTGAGAATCTTCTAGACACGTAGACTGTGTGCCTGCATGAAGGCACGTAGTTACACAATCAAACGCATGTGGCTGATAAAAGGCCTATTTTTTATAAAGTACAAGAAATGATAACAGATGGTAAGACTGAATTACCATCAGTTCTCCCTGAATAGTTCTTGATGCTTTAAACTTTGTGTTGCAGTGAGGACTTTGAGCGTGAGAACGGATGCTGTAGATCCAATGTTAACTTTGCCTTTTAAATAGTTGTGAACTTCCTATTGGCTAAGTTTTAAGTGTAGTTCTGTTTTCAGTTTGAACACAAGCACAATGACAGGAAGTGTGACAGAATCAGCTTCACCAGGAGTGCCACATAAAGCTAAATGTAATCAGTCGACTAAATCAGGAAAACTGTTCAAACTGATAAACATTAAACTTGACTAATTTGGTGATAAATTGTGTTGATATTATAATTAATAAGCTTGATATCAAATTAGCCCTAAACTGAAATTAGCTATAGTAAGTCACAGGAGTTTACAAAGTCAAAGGCAGCATCCCTTCTAACATAACATACAGGAAGCCCTTTTACATTTTATGAATTACATATAGGCTACACAGATTCATAATAAAGCTATGTAAGATATTCAGTCAAGAGCAGTGAATGGTTTTCTTTTCTTTTGTTGTTCGATTAACATTAAGGACATAGACCGCAGCAGGGAGGCCTATATGAGGCTGCTGTCACTTTAAGACCTTATGTATGAATCCAATATTAGATAATAATAATTTCGCCTAACTGTTTACTTTCACTTTTGACATAACTGACTGTGTTTAGGTGAATACTCAACAAGACGGCCATTTTGATACATAGATGTGTGTATTTAAGCGTTCAAGCCACGTTGTCATTGCCTGTCGGTACCGAATTCAGTGCTGTACAGTATTTATTGTGCTTTTTAATAAATCATCAAGCATATCCTGCTTTTCTTTTCATGCTTCCATGTTTATTTTCTGCTCTATCATTTTTAAGCAGTCCTGCGCTCCACGGATATATTTACATACAGAAAATATAGAAAAATCTCTATCAATGTCGTCATATCGCCCAAGCGTACTCCGTGCCTCCCCTGACACATGAGAAAACCCTGAGTTATAAGATATACTTTTGTCAAAGCATATGTAAAAATTGTAACTGACAAAATGTTTTAATCTGTTTACTACTGATGTATTTGATGTATTGAGTCGAATTGCATTTACTCCAGAAGCCACTAGGACTTCCAGAAAATGTAATAATCTATTTTTAAGACTCATTGACACACCCACCCAGAAAAAAAATGTATTCCATAAGAGTTTAAACTTCTCTTTTTTATTAAGCATTTGAGTTACATTTTTCAGTCCTTTTTAAAAAAACAAAATTATTATAATAAAAGGCAAACTGATCTAAAGTGCAGGACAAACTATTAGAGCTGTATATTCATTTATTCTTGTTTAAATATTTCCAATATAAATATACCAAATACATTCAAACATTTAAGATATCAGTTCACAATAAAAATAACATAGATTTAAGAACAGTAAGCAATGAGCTTAGGCAGCAACAGAAAATTGAATATATAAATAATGATATGGCTGTTAACTGCCTATACTTGAGGTTTACAGTGATTTTGTTCTTATTAGGCACTTGTTAGTTCTGTTCTAATGCTTCTGTTAACAGCCTCTTATTTACGTTAGTAGTAAGTGTGTATGTCAAGTAAGTTAGGATATTCTTCCTGAGCTAGTGTGCATAGTAGAACGTCCCTGTGCTTTTGTCAAGCTGGCTTTTCCGGGATATATTTGTGTATATGTGTGTGTGTACATGTGATGTTTATTGCAGAGGATCTTTCTTGTGCTGGTTGGGCCGCAGGTTCATGCTGTACTGGCTGAGCCACTGGCGTGAGATCTGGTAGAAGAATCCTGGAGAGTTTTGACAGTGGGATGATGGCATCAGCTACAAAAAAAAAAAAAGTTTAAAGGTCAATGAACCTGTTCATTTTTTACCTTTGATTAATTTCCTCTAAATCAGTGATTTTCAAACGTTTTCAGGTGGTAAAAAAAACAACAAAAAAAAACAAATCATAGACCACCTAACACCCCAAATTTGGAGGAAACCAGTTAAAAAAATAAAAAATAAAACTAATTATGTTATCAATTACCATACTCACCCTCATGTAATTCCAACCTGCATGATTTTTTTTCTTTCTTTTGTGGAATAGAAAATATATTCTGAAGAATGTTGGTAATCAAAATATTTTGACTATTGAATGTCCAAACAATGTCTCAAAATATATTTTGTGTTCATGACAATTTTCATTTTTGATTGAATTATTCCTTTAAGGAGTGTAAAAATCATTCTTAGTTTATATCCTACTGTACATATTAAAATATCTTTATTTTTACCAGTCCATAATTTTGGTAGACTGCCGTCTTATTCTGATTAAATCTCTTAATCTGACAATCTCTATTCAGTTTTTGCCACATATTAGTTGTTTTTATGACTTTTGAAAGACATTTCATGCTTTTCATCTTCAGAAAGATCTTACTTCCTCCCCATATTGCATGAAAACTGTGACTTATAATGTGAAACAACCTCTTTAAGTAGGTTTGACATTTACCTAAGAAGACCTGGCAAACTATTAAACTATTTTGATACCAGTTATCTAAAAATATATTAGAAATGAAACAAACAAAACTAAAATCTGAATTGTACAGAAATCATACTGATATGTCACCAACCTTGGTTTGAATAAGAGCTCCAGGAGGGTCTTCTGGATGTTCTAGTTCAAGATCAGACAGAGTTGTGGTCTGAAAATAAAAAATTAAAGTTGCTTTTTTTAATAGCACCACAAAAGCCTGAATATGTAACAGCACAACCTCTCCCCTCAACAAGCCACATGAGGAATCAATCATGTCTGTAGCACAAAAGATGCAGGTCAAGTAATGCTCTGAATCTGAATACTCAGTCCACAGCCATGTCAGTCTCTGCCCACCTGTGAGTCAGTGCTTGCGTCCGGGTGTCTGAGCTGCAGGGATTTGACCAGTCCTTCATGGGAGTATAGTTTAGGTTTGGGACCTGACAGTCTCAGAATCTTTGACCCAGACTGTAGATGACACCAGAAATGTGCAGCTTGGCTTGATGGGAAAGAGAGAGAGAGACTTTTGACAATGACATTCCATAATTTAAAAAAAAGTAATAAATCACAACATTTTACTGTGCAAAAATAGTTTGAGCACATTCCAATCAGGGCAAATGATGACAATGTACACACATACTATTAGATTTAAATCTTACATTTTCTGGTTTTACTTCAATTTTAGTTCAAGTTTTAGTAATTTGGCTTTGTGTTTTTGTCATTTTTTTAATAATGGAAATAATTAATAGTGCAGAAGTTCAGATAAATAATGGGGAGCAAGTCCATTTTTATTTTAAATTTATAGTTTTTTATTTTATTTATTCGTTTTAGTTTAGTTTGTTTTAGTTATTTTAGTAATTCAGGTTAAATTAAACGAAAGTGAGAAATGTTGCCAAATGTTTTTCAACTAACAAGTAAAAATTGTATTTTCCATACAGCTTGAATACATGCTTAATGAGTGTACACATCTGTATGAATAATAATAATAATATAATTATTTTCAAAACATTTAAGATAATTATATATATATATATTTTTTTTTTTTACAAATATCAGGACTTTGTAAAGATTCATAAAGTTTTACAATCTGAATCTCTATACGATACAATTTCCAGCTTTATGTTTTTTATGTTTCTATTTTTTGGTTGCACCACATGATCTTATAATATGTCAGATAAAAGTTTTCAAATATTTATAACGCCTTAACAAAACTGCTTCACTGTATTTTTTTATAAAACATATTCAAAATAATAAAATAGGTAACACTTTCATTTAAGGTCCAATTCTCACGATTAACTACTTGCTTATTAGAATGCATATTACTAGGATATTGGCTATTTATTATTACTTATAAAGCACTTATTAATGCCTTATTCTGCATGACCATATTCTACATCCCTTAATCCTACCCAATACCTAAACTTAACAACCACCTTACTAACTATTAATAAGCAGTAATTAGGACTTTGAGGCAAAAGTCATAGTTAATAGTGAGAATTGTTAATAGAGAACTATGACTTAACTATGACTTGACTATGATCTAAAGATTATGGCAAGTCATAGAAGAGTAATATCCAAGTTATTATTTGTGTATGATGTGCATTTATAATTGATTTTGTGAATAAATGAATAGATCCGAGCACTAAAACAACAAAAAAGTAAAGATGGCTGCTATAATGACTTCGGCTACTTGCAAAGCATCTCACCACAACTGGGTTTCATGATCTCATAGTGAACAGTAGCAACAGCAATAGACTTGTACCTTGATATTGCTGCAGACTGAGAGGGCATGTGTAATGTGCTCTGATGTAGCTGGGACAATGTAGGGATTTCCATCATGATAAGGTTTTTCTCTCCCTCCTCAACTTGAAAGCAGTCATTAAAAATGAACCAGGGATTTACCTTGTCTCCATTTTCAGCCTGTAAAACAACAGCGTTAAATATCACAATAACACTCAGCACAGACAGAACGGTTTGAAAGTATGTCACCTCTAAATGATTTTAGTATTATGTAACCACAGTTAAATATACAAAACTGCAGAACGTACCCTTTCAGGAAACTCGAAAGTTCCTGTTTCTGTCACAGGTATGGCTGATAATTCCTCTTTCCTGGTTTTGTCCTGTAATCCGCCCAAGTCTGAAAACCCTTTGTCATCTTGCTGGGGTTCTGTCCAGTCCGCAGAACTGAACGTGGACCATTCGTCAAACCCTTCACCACTTTGAAAACCATCTTCACCATAGAGGTCCAACATACATTCCCCCATTACACACAACAATGTTATCCAATAACACCCGTGACACTATTACAGTTCTGTCTACATCTAGTTGTTCTATCAAGCTGTAGCAGGATCAGCAGGGGTTGCCTCTATATTGACCTAATTTCTGTTGTTGTCGTCTTTGTAGCTTCGCTTTTGGCAGTGTGCAGTTTGTTCTCTGGTGTTCGGCAGGAGGCAGGGAGTTCCCATTGTATTTCATAGGCAGGTTAGAGGACACATGCTTCCTTCCAAAGACATTTCCTCAGTTGCTTTGCTTCGATTTACAGGAAGAGGACCGAGGAATCTGTCTGTGGAGTAAAATATTACATTTTACATAAACATTATATATATATATATATATATATATATATATATTTTTTTTTTTTTTTTTTTTTTAAGTTATAAACTCGCAACTGCGAGACATAAAGTCAGAATTGTGAGATATAAACTCGCAGTTATGACGGGGATGGGGATTCAGAATTTTGAGATAAAAAGTCCATTTTTGATTTTGTTTTGTTTTGTTATTCTGTGGCAGAAAACAAGCTTTCATAGGTACTTGTATCTTATTGGTTATAGAACATTCATTAAACACAATTTAACATTTTTAATAAAAACAATTGAACAGAGTAAAATATTTGTGCAAAAAGTAAAACAAAATATACAACTATTTAGATAAGCGATTTATGAGTACTGTTTATGAGTTGCTGCCTTCTGGCAGACAACATAGGCTGCCAGTGTGAAACAATCGTTTTTAAGAAATCCTTTGTGTCTATGTTGATTATACTTTTTAATAAGCAATACTTTTTGTTTATTTAAAATTTTGTATGTGCTTGTGTATGGTTTATGGATAGTCATGTTTTTGGTCAGTGTATGTGTATGTGGGCATCAGAGTCCAAGACAAATTTCCCCATCGGGGACAATAAAGTGTATTGAATTGAATTGAGATGTAGTTTGTATTTCTATTCCATGTGTTGTAAACACCTTAAAGATATAAACTATTATGTATTTTCTAACTTTCCAGTTTTACATAACTAATCTTTTACAGCAATAATTATGTTATGTAAAAATTCTGTACGTTTTTTACATTTAAATATTAATTTCATCTGTTAAGCGCTATATGGTGTTATAGAGAATATTACTGTCTGAAAGGAGGGCTCTGTGAAGGCTGAGAACCACTAAAAACCATAGCATACATTACAAAAAGTTGCTTTTTGACACAAATATTTTACATCAATCAGTTATCACTTTATCGTATTTTTATTAAACATACGTTGCTTTGCCTTTTTAACAATGTAGAGGTCAGATTACCAGACCAACAGTAAACAGATTAACAGTAAATAGGCTAACCTTTTGTGTGATACATTCTCTAAATAGTAAACAACCGTCTTGTGGTTAAAATGACTTATACGCCAATAAAACGACAATCACACGACAATCACACTTACCCTCATAAAAAAAACAGCAATAGGTGTTATAAAACGCTGATTGCCTATAATAGTTTATCCACGTAGCATTTCCGCAATTTTCTTCCACAAATCTGACGTCACGCAAACAGGCGGAGAGAGTGAAGTGCGCACCTGTACGTTTGACAACAACACGTGCTCGTGTCGTGTCTAGAAGGGTAACCGTCGTACTGCAAAAGTCTCGTGAGATTCACAGTAACTTACATTATCTCGGCTCATTATTATATTTTTCTCATACTCATATCCTACATTACTTTTTTTAACCAATTTCACAATCATAAATGCAATTTTACAACTTAAAGATTTTGTTGACTGAAGTAGGGCAGTACATGGACAGTAGGCTATGCCTATTACTAGAGAGTCACTTTGAATAAGAAATCTATAAAGAACGTGTTATAACGATTTTGTGAGGGTTTGTGACCTTTGCAAATGTATTTCATATTTTTATACCTTTTTCTTTTTTTATATTACACTAACGCTTTTTTATTTTGGTAGTTGCTTTTCTCTCTCTCTCTCTCTCTCTCTCTCTCTCTCTCTCTCTCTCTCTCTCTCTCTCTCTCTCTCTCTCTCTCTCTCTCTCTCTCTCTCTCTCTGTCTCTGTTCAGTATTTGCATTTGAGTGAAAAAACATGTATAATAAATAATGTTTATTCAAATTAAATAATGCTTTTTATAAATAGCCTTTATGATGTTTGTAAAAATATTCTTCATTGGAAAATACTGCTTTACAGGTGATGAACTGCTTCTTGACTATAATTTAGCTTATAGCCCCTGGATGGGCAGACGTTTTTCAGAGGTCTATTGATTTACTCATACCAGTTCCATAATAAAATAAAAACAGTCCTGAAGAGTATAATGACTATCGCCCAGTTAACTTAATCTGTATTGTTATGCTGTGTTTGGAGAGGATTATGATGTGGAAGTTTAAGGAAGAAGTTTATGAAATTGATGCTGGTTAAGCTCCATCCACACACAGAATAAAATCAGCATCTTTTAAGCCACTACATCAACATCTCTCATCATGGGGGTGGGGGAACAGATTCTGACAGCTGGATATTTAACCGTCGGATTCCGTTCCCCCCATGTTTCTTACACAATGAGGTTCTAATAATTTTGAAAATGATGCTGGTTAAGCTCCATGCACACACAGGAAAAAATCAGCATCTTTTAAATCAATACATCAACGTGTCTCATCATAAGGCTGGACCCTATTTTTGGGTGTTTTTGCCTTTTATTATGATAGGACAGTATGGGAGAACGGAATCTGACAGCTGATTGCTGATTTCTGATGTGCCTGATTTCGACGCCGGGGAAATACATAAAGCAAATTTGCGTGTAAACGCTTTTATATAAATACAATATAGGTAGGTCTAAATCCATGTGATCACTTATATCACAAATATCAATACATCGTCATATCCTCTAGCCTTAAAACTTGTAGGCTATAGTTTTTTGTCAGTGTTTATTTAAAAACATCCAATATGCAGAATATACAATGGTACATATTTATTTGATGAGCTGTCAACACAATATATAACAATACAATATATAAGGTATGATTTTACCCCTAAATTCAGCATATTGACACAAAACTATAACTGCAAATCCACCTTCCCAGACAGCAACATAGTGTCAGCCCTGGGGCCTCATTTATAGGCTAATCATCGAGTACGCACAAAACCGGCCCTGGCTTATGCCTCGCGTCGTTGTGATTTATAAAAACAAACTTGAAGGGAATATTTGTGCACCTGCACGCAAACTGTGACCCATGCGTACGAACATTTTGGAGACGGAGCAGTTTGGTAACACCGGTGGTGAGCTGAGGGACTGACGGCAGATGAAGGAAAACCACTTCTAAATCTTCATTATGAGTCCTAATCATAAATACAGTGCATGTTCACAATAACAGTTTAAAAAAATAAAAGAACGATTAAAACTTTGTTTTACATCTGATATATACACTCACCTAAAGGATTATTAGGAACACCTGTTCAATTTCTCATTAATGCAATTATCTATTCAACCAATCACATGGCAGTTGCTTCAATGCATTTAGGGGTGTGGTCCTGGTCAAGACAATCTCCTGAACTCCAAACTGAATGTCAGAATGGGAAAGAAAGGTGATTTAAGCAATTTTGAGCGTGGCATGGTTGTTGGTGCCAGACGGGCCGGTCTGAGTATTTCACAATCTGCTCAGTTACTGGGATTTTCACGCAAAACCATTTCTAGGGTTTACAAAGAATGGTGTGAAAAGAGAAAAACATCCAGTATGCGGCAGTCCTGTGGGCGAAAATGCCTTGTTGATGCTAGAGGTCAGAGGAGAATGGGCCGACTGATTCAAGCTGATAGAAGAGCAACTTTGACTGAAATAACCACTCGTTACAACCGAGGTATGCAGCAAAGCATTTGTGAAGCCACAACACGCACAACCTTGAGGCGGATGGGCTACAACAGCAGAAGACCCCACCGGGTACCACTCATATCCACTACAAATAGGAAAAAGAGGCTACAATTTGCAAGAGCTCACCAAAATTGGACAGTTGAAGACTGGAAAAATGTTGCCTGGTCTGATGAGTCTCGATTTCTGTTGAGACATTCAGATGGTAGAGTCAGAATTTGGCGTAAACAGAATGAGAACATGGATCCATCATGCCTTGTTACCACTGTGCAGGCTGGTGGTGGTGGTGTAATGGTGTGGGGGATGTTTTCTTGGCACACTTTAGGCCCCTTAGTGCCAATTGGGCATCGTTTAAATGCCACGGCCTACCTGAGCATTGTTTCTGACCATGTCCATCCCTTTATGGCCACCATGTACCCATCCTCTGATGGCTACTTCCAGCAGGATAATGCACCATGTCACAAAGCTTAAATCATTTCAAATTGGTTTCTTGAACATCACAATGAGTTCACTGTACTAAAATGGCCCCCACAGTCACCAGATCTCAACCCAATAGAGCATCTTTGGGATGTGGTGGAACGGGAGCTTCGTGCCCTGGATGTGCATCCCACAAATCTCCATCAACTGCAAGATGCTATCCTATCAATATGGGCCAACATTTCTAAAGAATGCTTTCAGCACCTTGTTGAATCAATGCCACGTAGAATTAAGGCAGTTCTGAAGGTGAAAGGGGGTTAAACACAGTATTAGTATGGTGTTCCTAATAATCCTTTAGGTGAGTGTACATTTAGATTAAATATGCCATTCTCATTAATGGAGTTAAGCACTTAAATTACATCATTATAGGCTACCGAGAAGTTACAATTTTTTTTATATTCTAATAAATAGAAATGTAGTGGATGCAATGCTTTAAAACACTTTTCCTGTGGCATGCTGTGTTTTAAGGTTTTAACTACAGCGAGGATTGCTTAGTGCATGATAGCAGAACTCACGGTCTGAGAAAATATTTTTGTGCAAATAATGATCAATAATGCACATTAAGACTATCTGTTTCCATTTAAAAAATAAATCAATTAAAAATAGGCTACTTTTTGGCCAGTGGAAAAGATTGAGAAAAACTTTCTCAATAATTCTTATTTGATTTATTTATTCAAAAACAAGGCAAGGATAGCAAATTAAATTTAGCAATGTAATGTGCACGGCACATCCGTATCTCATATTTTCCTAATGTCTTGTAGGCTACCGTTAACATGGTACCACGTGGATGAATATGCATATGCAAAAGATATGCAGATGAGGATATGCGAAGTAAAACTAGGCGGTGTAAGCTCCATATATAGTTATTTTTGGGGCAAGTTGGAGCTAAACTCTGCAGGAGTCAGGACAGTGGCCCTCCAGGACCACAATAGGCCTACGCACTGCAAACAGAGTAGCCTATGAG